TGTTTTTGCTGTGAAGGTTACGTGTAAAAATGTGGTCTCACGGGTCTCACGAAAACAGGCTGGTCTCACGTGAACCCAACCCTATATATATATATCTATATCTATATATATATATATAGATAGATATATATATAGATATATATATATATCTATACTACATATATAAGCATTTAGGTTATTATCTTAAATACAAGTCCTTAAGCATAAGTTACAACCATTTTATGCAAGATTTTCAAAAAAATCTTAAGGACAAGTCACAAAGCATATGGTACAAATTATTGATGCATTTACTTTATGGAGCAAATCCAGCAAATATTGGCGCTTCATTTTGGGGGTAAGGTCGAAAAGCCTACACTTGGCTGTTCAAAATTCAAAATTGTTGCTTCATCCAAGGATTCTTCTTCCCAATAAATCTCCTTCAACATCTTCCGATCCACCTCAGCCCCAACCTTATCGTCCCATTCGACATCTTCCGACCATGAGCCACCAGCAACCACGAATGCACGAACCACCGGCGATTTGGAGTTCGATTTCATATATGGAGTTCAATTTCTGATTTTCTTTCAACAAAAGCTTTGGAGTTGAGTTCGATTTCATCGTGCTAAACAACAACAGGTTTGATTTCTTCTTTTGTTGTTCACTCATATTAGAGTTGTAAATCGTGATTGCAAAGGATTCATCAACTAGAGTTTGGATTTGATTTTGATTTTGATTTTGCTTTAAATTTGGATTCACATATTAGGGTTCATCTTCATTGCTTCGTCTCACAAATTAGGTTTTGATTTTAACTTGTTGCTTTCATCTCCATTGCTCCATCTCAGCTAAATTTTTTTTGATTTCTCCATTGCTCCATCTCATGTAATTTTTTTGATTTCTCAATCGCTCTACCTCAGGTGATGAAAGACCCGATTGTACAAGATGAACCAGCATCAAAGGAGAGGTTAGAGTTTTTAAACTACACTAATGAACGAAGTATTTACATAATAGGTTTTCATGTCTGATTCATGTTGATTTCATCTTGATTTAACAGGTTATTATAAATGCACTAAATTATATTAAAAGATTATGATTTTCGCAATTAAGTTCGAGATTTTGATTTTAATAAAAGTGGGCAGTAGTAGGTAGTAAGGCTATAAGCAGAATGTGATTCAAAATCATCGCCTCCATCAAAGAAATCCAAGACCTCTCCTGCCATCGCCGCAGCTGATGATGACGTCCGATTTATCGAAAAGCCAGTTCCAGCTGATCGAGCTAGAGCAAAATGGCCTCATCGTTACGAATCCAAGGTGCATTTTTGGAGAATCACATTTTTTTGGTTGCATTTGTATACTTCTTTAACTACTAATGAGATGTAATGGTGTGCGATTGACGATTACAGAACCAAGTGAAGGTTATAGATTCTTCAAACTGGTGAGATTTCTATCATTTTTGTGCTATTATCTGTGCGTATTTGGTGCCTTGTTCAAGAAACCAATGGAAACAAAAGGATGCTTACCCTTTTTTTCGTACTTTTCTGCATCTTGTTAGTCGGGTATCCCTGTGGGTGTTCGATATTTACGTTTTTTTTTTGTGGTTTGTAGCTCTACAACACGGTAACACTATAAGGTAGATGCTTGCCGTTATCAATCTCGCTGTGATTGCCGCTCCTCTAAGCATCATGGTAATAACATAAAATACCCATCGGAATTCAAACTGTTGCGAAAGACCTGTTTTGTGGCTAACCCAAGACACCATCTTTTTATGTAGAGGAAAGTGATACGAACGAAAAGTGTCGATTACATGCCATTCATGCTCTCGTATCACATTTTCACGAGATGTGTGCGAAAGTAGGAGTAGACCCACTGGCATCAAATAAAGGTTTTTGGGCTGAGCTCCTAGGAATCGGTGATTTCTATTATGAACTTGGTACGTGCTTGTTTTTGCTTCTGCTCCTCGGGTTTAAGATGAGACCATTGGATTTATATCTTTAAAGTAGAAAATTTTATTGCTGCTTTTGTGTTCGCATGTATCTACATATGGAGTTCCCCATATCTGATGAGCTCTGCTTCTGTGTTTTTATTCTTTTCTGTGGGAGTGCTTAATATTACATCCTCCTGTAGTTTGTTGGATCATGTATCTGCTACTTTAATATTTCCAAATGTTGGTTAACCACTTTTACATACATTCTTGGCATATTTGTGAAAAGTGGTTTTTTTGTTGTTGAGGAATTGTCTGAAAGCTATGAAGCAAAACCCTCAATCCGAGACTCTGCCTTAACCTGTTTCAGATATTTCCACCACAACAGTGAAATCCATTATTGGGATCTTTCATATGCACAACACTTTAAACTTTAATTTGGGGACGTAAAGAGGTTGTGTGATATTTAAAACATGCACGTTGTTGTTGTTGTTGTTGTTGGTGATGGTGGTCTTGATAAACTAAATATATAACTATATTTGGGTGTATATGAATGTGAATGGAAGGGATTAACATCTCAGGCATTTAAATAACTTGGGGACGTAAAGAGGTCGATTTTTAAAACATGCACGGAACGATTTATACATTATTATTGTTGTTGTTGGGGTTGTTGGTCTTGATAAACTAAATATGTAACTATATTTGGGTGTATTTGAATGTGAAAGCTTAATCTGCAGCTTAGGGGCCGTTTACCAAATATTTATCTGCTAAGAGCTTACTAGTAAAATTTAACACTATTATTTACATATCAGGTAAGATTTTAGTCCGGCCTCTTTACCATTCTGTATAAAACCAAAACGACATCATATGCAACAATTTACTCGGTAAGCGCTTAACATGGTAAGAGTCGTTGCCCTCACTTACTGAGTAAGATTCATGGTCCTTGTCTCGCTCTTACCGGGTAAGATTTTTGGTCCTTACCATATTCATCCGATGAGGTACATAACTTGGTAAGCACTTACCCGAATAAGTGTTTGGTAAACGAACCCTTAGAGTTCTAAACTTGTCATAGATTCTTTATCAATTTGCAGATAGTATCTTCTAGGACTTCTATAATGAATATGAGGACAATAGGGCTGATGTTGGAGCTGAAGGTGAATGAGGACATGCATGTGTGGATTTAAAGTATTGGGCCCAGTCTATTTTAATGTTTTATATTTTTTTTGAAATCTAATTTTTGTCCCTTGAACAATTACGAATAATAAGTCATCATATTTGTATCTTTAGATGTCGAACATTCTTGACACAAGGATCACCATACACTTTATGTGCTCCTTGTACTCTCTGACCACAGATTATATGAGGCACTTGCTGATGTTGTCAAGGAGTTCTATAAGACGAGTTTTGTTGGTTAACATGCCGGCTATAAAAAGGTTTTTTTTGCCAAAAATATGTATATATTCGTTCAAAATAACATATTCATATTCAAAACTAAAACGAAAAGCGTTTTCCATTTGGTTTGGTCTTTTTATGACAATCATGTGATTATTTGTTTTAATCATCAATTGATATTTTCACTTACATTTATATAAAATTTATACCCCGCCGCATTGTACGGGTTCACAACTAGTATATATATATATATATATATATATATATATATATATATATATAAAAGTATCAACTAAAAACCAAAAAGACCCCTCTCTCTACTTTCTCTCTCTAGAATTCTCAAGTTTTTTGGGCTGTTCTTTGTGTTTTTTGTTGCTACTATGGATGATTTTTCTCTTTGTTTTGAAGAATCATTGCATAGGAAAATAAGAAAAACTCTTATCTAAGTAATCGTTCCTTGCTCATGGCAAAAGGTCCAAATTTTAGATCATCACGTTTAGGCGTCTCAAGAATGTGATGGAAAGAAGAAGAAAAACCTCTATCATCCAGCATAGGCAACTCCCTTCCATGTTAGAAAGTGTTTTGGATGTTACCGGTTCTGAAAGTTTATGTAAGAATCCACCCCCCATCCCCTTAGATATCCACGAGTTCAATCTTAGGAGCAAGGAGGAATTTATGGAGGAGTTTAAGGAGGAAGTTTTAAAAGATAGAAATGATCCCCTACCTGTCCAGCCATGCAAATCCAAAGCCTTTTCTCGCCGTTTAGTTACTGCTTCAAGGAAGGAGAAAGCTAAGGAGGTTGCTTGTAATGTTCTTATGAACTATCAAGAATCTAACCCAGTTAGTGAAGGACTTATTGCTTCAACATGCAAAAAGCTGGTTGTCCAGACCCATCGTAAAAAATATTCTGGAATGAATAAGTCTGAAGGGGAGTGTTCATCGGACCTGCCTTGGATTGCTGTCTCTATTACTGATAATAATATTCTAACAGAAGCATCGAGGGGAAGCTTATCTATCACCTCTAGCCTTCATGGAAAAAAGGATTGGATGTTCAGTCATCCTACTTACTTTGCTGAGAATGGTGTTATCTTCTCCCATGAAGATGGCAGTCCTGGGTGCTCCATGCAAGTTTGCAGAGAAGATGATCCAACGGTCTCTTTTTTGAAAAATCAAGAAAGTCAATAGGTTTTCTTCTTTGGTAATCCCCCATGCACCGTTAGCACTGAGGATGTGGAAGATTTTTTTAGTTCCCCCATGCATGAAGATGACAACTCTCTCATGGATAGCAGTAAGGATGACCGTATGGCAGTGGAAGTGCATGCGCCGGCTATTGAAGTTGACAGGCTGCAAAAGGTTAGTATTGAAAAAATAGCGGTCCATTGGATAAACCCGTGTGCAGCCGGATGAGTGGGAAAGGCCACGTGATGGGTCTTAGTGGTGGTGCTTGTCCTATGGTTATTAACCTTGGGGCCCAAATGCCTTCTCTTGTGGATAAAGATTGTCCGGTCAATAGGCTTAATTCTTTAATCTCAAGGACACGTGAAGATGGGTTAGGTGTCAAAAATTTGGTGGTTGGTGAAGATATGCATTTGGCTCTTAAACCGTCTCTCTCTTTGGACTCGGCCACTGGTTTTTGTTCTATTTCACATGGGTCAAATGAGAGCAGCCTTGTCTCTTTGGAGGGTGACCCAACTCTTAGTACTTTGGAGTTTGGAGTCTTGGACCGTGTTATAAGTAGCCCAAAGAGTAACTGCCAGACCCATCCCTCGATTCTTGGCCCACTGCCTTTAAAAAAACAAGCTGTCTGATGTTGGGCCAAAAAGTGTTTCTCATTCGGATACTGCAGGCCCTTTGATTTCTTCTCTTGTGGATGCTACCTCTATTCTTGGGCCTCACCATTTGGATATCTCTAATCTCAACAGCAGCCCAAGAGGCATTTTGGGCTCTATCTTTGCCAAAAAGACCTCAAGTCTCGGCCTTCTTGCTACTGGCCCAGGTAAGTGTCTTTTTTCATCTTCCTCCCCTAATGTTCTATCTAAGTGTCAGTCTAAACCCCCAAATGTTTCTGTTTTGAAACCGGATTGCCACATGCATGCTCCCTCCCCCCTTATGCCCCCACTAAATGCTTCTAATATTGATGTGCCATCTGTTGATTGCTTGCATGTCCAAAATGCTTCAATTGATCCATCCCCTTTGAATGAGAAAACCATGCACAATCTCTCAAATATTTTTTTCTCCTAATGCTCAAAAAATACTTCAATTCTTCCAAATTCTTATGCCCATATGATAAGTGGATCGAATAAGCATGCTAATGAAAATTTTCATCATATTCCTATTCAAAATGAAAATGTTGACTCCCCTATTGATATTCCCCTTTCGGTGGTTAAGAAGAGTTGCGAAACTTATGCTAAAACCCTTTGTGGTTACTTTGTTGGTAAAAGACTCCCTTTTTCGGTGGTTCGTTTTTATGCTTCAAAATTATGGTCCCAATATGGAATTGAGGATGTCCATCTAAATGGCCATGGGATTTTTTTTTATTTAAATTCAATTCTATTGATGGTCTTCAAAAGGTTATTGATAATGGCCCATGGACTTTTAAAAATATTCCCATCTTTATTCAAAAGTGGAGGCCGGGATTAAATCTGAATTCAAATTTGCATGATAAAATACCTATTTGGGTTAGAATTCATGATATACCATATGACGTTTGGAATGATGAGGGTCTCAGTCACATAGCAAGTAAAATAGGTATTCCCCTAGCTTTGGACTCATGGACTGCTAATATGTGTAAGTATGCTGCTGGAAAATCTGCTTTTGCTCGTGTTTTGCTTGAGGTGCCTTTTAGGAACACTTGGATAGATGAGGTTAAAGTTCGTATTCCTGACCCTGACACTCTTGCTATGACTCTATATTCTCTACGTGTTGACTATGAATGGAAACCTCCTACATGCATTAACTGTCATATCTTTGGACATTCTGACTCTGCCTGTTTGCATACTTTGACTAAGAATGATATGAATGTGAAATCCACAAATGAGCAATGCACTACTGGAAAGAATATTATGATAGATAGTGAGGGATTCCATACTCGTGTCCAAAAGCAAAGCCAAAAGCCTAAGGCTCCGATACCTGTTGCACGGAAAAATTATAAAAAGAAGGAGACCCGCCCCCCTGCATCTAACGGGAAGCAAGCTAGTGAGAAGATGAAAGAAAAGGTGACCGCCCCCCTTCGTCAAGATGGCTCTAAGATGCAAAGACCGAACCCTTCCCCAAGGGTTTTCCCCCCATATCAATCCCCCCCGTGGGTTTATCCTCTAGCCCCCTGCCCTCTCCCCCTAGGCCCCCTATCCTTTCTCGTCTTTCCCCCAAGCCTTCTAACCCACAACCCTCCTCCCGGAAGCAATCCAAAGCTCCCTCTCCCTCCTCTAATCGGTTTTCTGTTCTCGCTGACCAATCTCTTCCTAGAGATCCTGGGTTGTCCTCCTCTTCCCTCCCTCCCTCCTCTGCTCCTCTTGAGATAGAGGATGGTCTCCTTGATCAGGATGACCTCCTGGATGAGGTTGATATGATTGAGATTGAATCTGATGTTGGCAATACCGCTCGATTCGTTGCCCTTGATCTCTCTCTTCCCCAGGTTGATTCGATGTCCTCTCAGGAGCCCGAGCAGATGGACTCCACTCCCTCCCCCATTTCCCAATGACGAGCTTTGCCTTGTGGAATACCCGTGGTCTCTGTAATCTCTCCCATCAGAGAGCTATGAGAGATCTTATTCGGGATTCCAACCTTCAAATATGTGCTGCCCTTGAGTCTCGTGCCACTATGTCTAGTCTCCCTTCCATCTGTGAGAGAGTATTCAGTTCTTGGTCCTAGGCCTCTAATGGTTCTCTTTGCCTTAGAGGAACCCGTATCATTGTTGCATGGAACCCTGTCCATGTTGACATGATGCTTTTAGATGCTATCGATCAGGTGATGCATTTTCAGGTCATGATCCAAGACTCCTCTAAGATTCTTTTCTTTTATGTGGTGTATGCGGATAATTACCATATCGCCCATCGCCAGTTATGGGCATCTCTTAAGGGTCATAAGCATGTCGTTAAGGACACCCCATGGTTCATCATGGGTGATTTCAATGTAGCCCTTGACCCTAAGGACAGCTCCTCAGGCATCTCGGGCCCTAATAGTGGTATGGATGATTTTCGTGAGTGTGTCCGACACCTTGAGGTGGAGGATATCAATTTCAAGGGCCTGTTCTTTACCTGGACTAAAAACCCTAATGTTACGGGAGGTCTTCTCAAAAAGATTGACCGTGTCTTGGGCAATCTTCATTCCCTTCCTCTTTTCCCTTCTGCGTCTGTTGTGTTTCTCCCCTATTGGTCCTCGGATCATAGTCCGGCGGTCCTTACTCTTCCTTCTCGTTCTCCCCATAAACCCAAACCGTTTAAGTTTCCTAACTTTCTCACTTATAAAGAGTCTTTTAAGACTGTTGTGTCTTCCAATTGGTTCCCTGATCTTACTGGTCGTGAGATGTATAAGATTTCCCAAAATCTTAAAAATCTTAAGGGACCCTTTCGTAAGATGCTTAATGATCAGGGTAATCTTCATTTCAAAGTGTCTAAGTTGCGGCCTGACCTTGACAGGGTCCAAACAGCTCTGGATAGAGATCCTGACAATGGGGCCCTCCGAGAGGAGCACTATGGGTATTTATCTGCCTACAATAGTGCTTGCCTTGATGAGGAGCGGTTACTTAAGCAAATAGACAAGATCAATTGGCTCCGGGAAGGAGACTGAAATTTTTCTTTTTTCCATAAGTCCATCAAGAGTCGTATCAACAAGAATCGTATCGATACCATTCAAAATGCTAACGGTCTCTGGGTGTCTAATGTTGAGGTCCCCCATCTCTTTGTCTCTCACTTCGATAACTTCCTCGGTACCTCTCATCCCTCCCTCCCTATTCATAATCCTGCCTTCCTCTTCACTAGAAAGATTAATGTCATTCAAGCTGCCATGATGATTGCTCCTATTACTGACTCTGAGATCAAGCAGGCCCTCTTCCAGATGGGAGATGATAAAGCTCCGGGGCCTGACGATTTCACTTTCAAATTCTTCAAAGCCACTTGGAGTATTGTTGGCAGGTATGTGTGCTCCGCTATTCGTGAGTTCTTCACGAATGGTGAGCTTTTAAAGTCACTTAATAGTACTATTCTGGCCCTTATCCCCAAGTCGGCTGCCCCTTCTCGTGTCATCGATTTCCGTCCTATTGCTTGCTGCAATGTCATTTATAAAATCATTAGCAAGATCATTGCTGACCGAATAAAAGATCATCTTTCTTCTCTGGTTGATCTTAACAGTCTGCTTTTATCCCGGGTCGTCTCATTGCTGGTAATATTCTGCTCATCCAGGAGCTCATGCGTGGCTATCATAAGCAACGGGCCCCTCCCCGCTGTGCCTTTAAAGCTGATATCCAAAAGGCTTATGATACTATTGATTGGCATTTTCTTCGCACTACCCTTTTCGGCTACGGTTTTCCCCTCACCATGATTAAATGGATTATGTCATGTGTTTTCACGGCCTCTAACTCGGTCAGTGTCAATGGAAACCTCCATAGCTTTTTCAAGGGAGGTCGTGGCTAAGGTAGGGCGATCCTCTTTCTCCTTATCTCTTCACCCTGGTCATGGAGGTCCTTAACCTCTTGACCAAAAGAAAAATATGTGAGACGGACACCTTTTCCTATCATCGGAATTGTGAGAAGCAGAAGATCACCCACCTCTGTTTTACTGATGATCTCCTCATATTCTGCCATGGTGATAGTGACTCTATTTGTGTCATAAAGGATTCTCTTGATGAGTTTTCGAGTGTGTCTGGTCTCTTTCCGAGTCCGGCCAAAAGCGAGGCCTTCTACTGTAATGTCGGCCAGCACACTAAAAACTTGATTCAGACCATCATTCAATTCCCGGAGGGCTCCCTTCCGGTTCGTTATCTTGGTGTCCTCTCTCATTACTACCCGTCTCTATCATCGGGACTATAAGGGCCTTGTTGACAAGGTTAAATCCATACTTAATGACTGGAAAAATAAGTCCCTTTCCTTTGCCGGTAGGTTGCAGCTCATTCTTTTGGTCCTGTCCTATATGCAAATCTATTGGGCCTCTATCTTTGTTCTTCCGATGTCTATCTCTAAGGAGATTGAGTAGCTTATGCAGGGCTTTCTTTGGTGCCATGGTGAGCTCAAAATAGGGAAAGCTAAGGTCTCCTAGAAGACTGTGTGTCTCCTCAAATCTCAAGGCGGGCTTGGTATAAAGAGCCTTGCCAGCTGGAATCTTGCCCTCATGGCCTCCCACACTTGGAGGATCCTTACCAATAAGGATTCTTTATGGGTTAAATGGATCCATTCCTACAGGCTGAAAGATCGTAACTTCTGTGATGCTCCGATTCACAGTGATGTTGGTTGGGGCTGGAGGAAGATCCTGGGCATGCAGGACAAGATAAGAGACTTCATTGTCTCCCAGATTGGCGATGGCGCTTCCACTTCCGCCTTGTATGATAATTGGCATCCTGCTGGCCCCCTCTATTGGCACATCTCTTCTCATAATATTCTCAACTCTAATCTTTCTCTCTCGGCCTCTGTCAGAGATATTGTTTTCCAAGGTAATCGGACTTGCCCCTTCTTGAGGGACAGTTCCAACCCTTCCATCCGCGACTCTCCCCTCCCCGTCCTTTCCTCGGGCACCCCTGATAAACTCCTCTGGAGAACTAGGGATGGCTGTCTCACCTCCTTCTCGGTCCGTGAGGTCTGGCTCTCCCTCCGGCCCAATGAGCCGGATGTCTCCTAGTATCATTTGGTCTGGTTCTCTCAAAGCATTTCTAGACATGCTTTCATTCTGTGGGTTGCTCTCAAGCAGCGTCTCAAGACGCACGATAAGCTTTCGTTTTGGGAGGCCCATTCCAACCTTTCTTGTGTGTTCTGTCATAACAGGCCTGATTTGCATTCACATCTTTTATTTGAGTGCCCGTTCCCTAATCTGGTTTGGAATGGCTTAAAGCCCAAACTGAACCTTAATGGTGTCCCAGATAGTTGGGCTGATATTATTGGTATGTTTCAACAAGCCACCAAAGGAAAGACCGTATGGTCTATCATTCGTCGTTTAGTGCTTGCAGGGACTGTCTACCACCTGTAGCAAGAAAGAAATAATCACATCTTCAAAAACAAACGAAGATCGCATATTACGGTGGGTAAGACAATTACTGATAATGTCTGGTCCAAGCTCCTTAGCCTGACCTTTAAGTCCTTCCCTAATGTTGTCCGGGCCCGGCTCGCCTGGAACCTTCCTTAGCTTTTTGTTCTCTTGTGTTGTTTTTTTTGTTCGTCTGAGCTCCTTTGCTTTCTTGGTTTTCTTGGTGCGGTCTAGGGTGTGCCTGTTTTAGGCCCCTTTTCCTGCCCTTGCGGTGTTCCCCGTTGCTTCTCAGTCTTGCCTTGGCTGGGCCCTTCCCTTGTGGTTGGTTTCTCTCTCCCTCTTCCCTTATGTCTCTCCCTCTCCCCCTCTCTCTCTCTTTGTTCCTTTCCTTCCCTCCTCTCTTTCTCTCTTTCTTTCTTTTCTCTTCCCTCTCTCTGTCTTCCTCTCCCCTCTTCTTTATTCCTTTTTCTGTCTTTCTCCTTCTTTTCCCTTGGGGTGCTTTGGTTATGCTGGTGGTCGAGGTTTCCTCCCACCCGCATACTTCATTGTTGTTTTTTAGCGTTTTAGTGTTTTGTCCTGATCTGGAGGGGTCTCCCCCTCCCTATCAAAAGAGAAGTATCAACTATAACATCTTCAAATTGTACAACCGTGACAATGAGAAAATTTCAATAACAATTGACTGAAATACCCTTTAAGGAAAAAGAAAAATTAAAATTTCATTCAATTTTAATTTTTCTTTTTCCTTAAAGGGTATTTCAGTCAATTGTTATTTTCAATTAATTAATGTTTTGTTTTAAATTAATTTATGCACCAATCATTATTATCAATTGGTTTTGGAAGAACAATTGATCCACAAGGGTCTGGAAATAACACATCTTTGTCAACAGATGGAAATGTATCCTCGTGAAACACCACATCCTCTGATGGAAATAACACATCGTGGAACCTATCAGGAATACCATGAAAACACCAAGATTTTGCATGGGGATGAAATTTAGATCGACCTTTCGGTGTAGAACAACCAAAAGTGCGAAGTAGACAAACCGTTGATAACATTTGATGGTGTACGAGTGATTAAATGAGCTGCAATTAGAATACACTCAGACCAGTAAGTAATGGAAACATCAAAGCGCTCTAACCACATTCAAAAGGTGTTGATGTCTACATTCAACCATCGAATTATTTAGATTGTCAATGCCGAAAGATTTGATTTTCTTATCAAACTGTGTATTCACCATGTTGTAAAACCATGGAACAATGTTTATAACATATATAAGATTTGTTGTTGATCAAGTAAATCCATGTGAATCTACTGTAATCATCTACAACAGTAACAATATATATATATATATATATATATATATATATATATATATATATATATATATATATATAACCTTTGTGAGTGGAGACTTAGTAAGGCCCCAAAACATCATCACGGTGAACAAGATCAAACGAGCTACTGCATATATTTCCTTTTGATAGAGGATAAGCTAAACAGTCTTTAATTGTCTGAGTAATGGAATCCTTT